AGACTGCCGAACCCTGTGCACACACATGCACACGATTCTGCTTTTACTGAGTACCGGCTCTTTCTTCAACATGCTGCAAACTTCCCATTCAACCTGTTTGGTGGTTTGTTACTACGTGATGCTATGTGTAAGTGGCCTACAACTGGTTGTCCTTCAGAAGGAGGGTTGCCAAAGGATATATATATATATGTGTGTGTATAGTTGTTTGTGTTTATTTGCTGGGGGCACATGACACGAGTTATGATATTTGTTAACAACGAGTCATTTTTTGTTGCTTCCTCGATGCCAGGAATACGTGAAGTTGGCGAAGAAGATCCGAAAAGAAGAGCTAGGCCCGAAAGTCTTTGTAGAAGAGTCCTCAAAGTTGCTTTGATTGGGATCCTTTTGGCCTTCCTGGCGAGAGACAGTCTCACGGTCAACTGATTGGTCCGAGGTCGCCGTGCAAGGTGCCAAATGCTACATCACCTCAAGAAAAAAAACATCCCAGGTCCCGGCTCCTTCAAGTGCGGTCACTGGTTAGGTCCGGTCAGCAACTGGTCCCAGCTCCTACGTTTGTGATGTGCTTATATAGTGGGTGGCTTAGTCTGTGGGAATTCCTTGTTGTATCGCTGTTCAAGGACGGATAGTTTTGAATTGAATGGGGAGACACGTTTGCTGGGGAAAGGTATGTGCCGGGCAAACGGTTCAAACTGTTCGCCTGAGACTTCGTTGTCCACATTGGGATGTGGGGAGCCTCCAAAGTTTGTCAGCACCAATGTTTCGAGCAGAGAGTTCTACAGATCCCTCACATCCATCGGTGAGGCGACCTGATCACCATCGCCAAGATCGATGGCACAGCCAATGATAGCCCCGTGGACGAGCTTGACACTTCGCTGCGCTTACCGCCCGGCCCGGGCCAAGGGCGGTGGCTGGTACAATGATGTTGACGAGGTATGACGAGGTGCCGTTGTACCAACGGTACGACATGGTACGACATGAGTGCGGGGGGAGGAACGCGGGATGAGGGATCCATTTCCCTTAAAGCAAAAGCCCTAGTAGCGTCCTTGCTCCTAGTAGAGATGCCAGGAGCCCCTAGTAGATACTTGTTCCTAGAAAAATGGGTGTTGTGTCAGCTACTTGCCAGGGGCACTTCTGTCAGCTTTGTTGTGTCTATTGTTGTGCAGTCCGTGGCGTCCGTCGTGGACTGAGCGAACGACTGCCCCCGGGATCCCGAGTCCGAAGTGTTCAGGTTACGAACATCCCCCCCTCCCCTTTGTGGAGATGGACCGGGTGATCTGCGAAGACCATGTCCACAGTCATGTCCACTTCTACTTTTGAAGTGCGCAACACTAGGATTCAACCACTACACTGCGACAAGAGCCATTCGACACTGAGCACTTGCGCCCAACCCACCGGACTTCAGCGTCGACCTGTTGTAGCAGCTCTGAGGATTGGAGCTCCTTTCCCACGATTTTCTTCGTCAAGGCGGGTGCCTCCAACGCCACGCTTTATGATGGCGAGCGGACAGCCAAGGGTCTGTGGACTCTTGGAGATGTCAATGCCGGGGGGGCACCGTGGCACTGGTTTCGTCCAAGGTTCGTCGGTGCTGCTATGTGTTGCTGCATGTTGTTGCCATTGGGTGGCAAAGTCCCGTTTTTTTTTCACGCAGAGCCAAGGACATGGTACCTTGGTGTGCGCGCGTTTGCTCTTTGGGGGGGATTTTTTGGAAGTGAGCAGCATCATGGTTTGCAACCATCCTCAAATTCAATGAAAGTAGTCTTAGTAAAGCTACGCTCGACTTCTTGTACAAGCCTATTCTGCTTCAAAGTCTATCGGCCTACAGCTTTGGTCCCATTTGCGAGGAAATACCTCCGGAAGCACGCGAGCAAAGCGCAAGAGCTCCGAGACCGATTAGAAAGAAGAAAGGCCATGGGTGATACCAAGCCGCAGAAACCCTGAACGGTTCTAATAGCTTTGTTACTATAGTAGTAAGGCTAGGAGCCCCTAGTAGCGTCCTTGCTCCTAGTAGCGATGCCAGGAGCCCCTAGTAGCTTCTTGTTACTAGTAGTGTTCATTGCTTATTTCAAAAAACCGCATGGCCGAGCAATGGAACATGTTGTGCTCTCAAAGAGTTGAGGATGTTTGCTCGAGCATTGCTCGTATGGACTCCAGTGAACGGGCACGGTCCCGCACGGGACGACCGGATCTCAACGTGCCAGGGCTCCACCAAGAAGGGTCTGCAGCTTAGAGTGCTGGTCTAGTGTGTGAAAGAAAGGAAAGGCTTATCAAGGGCAGTTGAAGATTCCTGATGAAATATAAATAATGAATATTGCTAAATCAGAGAAGGTTAGAAACATATTTAGCAGGAGACTGACGCTTTGTGGCTCAGCGGCTTGAGCCCAGCCAGTGCGCGGCGGCTCGAGGTTTGTCTTTGCGACAAAAAAGGAGCGCCGTGCTGTGGTGAGATGGGGTGTTCTTTGGTTTTGACGGGTTGAGACCAGGTTCGGTTAGTTCATGTTAGAGTTCCAAGATGCTACAAACACTCTGACACTGGTTTTCAGTTAACTCAATTACCACGATGGGAAAGATGGCGATGGAACAGTATGGCGAAAAGTCCAAGGAATTGTAGGTGTTTTAACAAAGGCTGTTTCCCTTGACTGCAAACCTCAGCGGTGGCAAAACGAGCGGCGCAACTCAGCTCAAAAAAACAGGTTTGGGGGTGGAAACGTGAAGGACCATGAACCAAAAAAGCGAAGAGTGGAGTCACAGCTTGAAATCGTTCAGCAGGTACACATCCATGGCCAGTGGATGCTTCCCTCTCTGATGCATAGCTTCGTTGGACAGAGTAGCATCAGAGAGCTCTGTCCCCCTGCTTCAAGTTAAATTAAAATTAAACCCTTGGAAACAGGGTTTGACACACACACGGTGCCGCTTCCCGGCGCTCGTGTGGGAGACCTAAATAGACACCTAAAAAGCCTTAGAAACGAAAGGAAAGAAAGACAGAAAGAGCAGCGCTAAGAGGGCAAGAAAGAAAGGTAGGTGTAGAAAAAGTGAATACTTAGCCCTTGACTGGGGTAGGGAAACGAGCCTCAAGAGCGACCTAAAAAGCCTGAGAGAAAGCCCAACAAACGAAGAAAAGCGCAAGAAGGAAAGTGGGGGGGCAGGGAGGGGGGTGTATGTCCATGTGTGTGTCCGTGCATGTGTATGAATACTTAGCCCTCTAGAATTACTGAATACTTAGCGGAAACGAATTAAATGCAGTAGTTAGGGAGCGGGACTTTAGTCTTAAACCGCCCGGGTAGAGAAGACTAGAACAGGAACAACACAGGGAAAGGCACCGACACACAAGTGTGTCGAGTACCATTTCCGAAAAACAAGGAATCAGGAATAAAAACGAAACCCTGTGCATTCCAGAATGGTTACGGCGCCTCCTTTCGGAGGGTCACACCCAGCACCCAAGTGGGAAGACTGAGCGGCTCACACTCTGACACTGGTTTTCAGTTACAGTAACTCAATTACCACGATGGGAAAGATGGCGATGGAACAGTATGGCGAAAAGTCCAAGGAATTGTAGGTGTTTTAACAAAGGCTGTTTCCCTTGACTGCAAACCTCAGCGGTGGCAAAACGAGCGGCACAACTCAGCTCAAAAAAACAGGTTTGGGGGTGGAAACGTGAAGGACCATGAACCAAAAAAGCGAAGAGTGGAGTCACAGCTTGAAATCGTTCAGCAGGTACACATCCATGGCCAGTGGATGCTTCCCTCTCTGATGCATAGCTTCGTTGGACAGAGTAGCATCAGAGAGCTCTGTCCCCCCCTGCTTCAAGTTAAATTAAAATTAAACCCTTGGAAACAGGGCTTGACACACACACAAACAGACACTGAGGCGAGGAGCTTTAAGAGGGGCGTTCGGTGGCGTTCCAAGATGCGCTGTTGCTTTGATGCATTTCAAATCCACTGAATGGGTGCGTTCCAACCGTGCGGTCACTGGTGAGTCACCGCGCTGCAAACGGGCAATCTCTATTTGTTGTTCCTTTTCTAGTTTCTGGATGTCAAGGCCCTATACACCCCAACATCCCTCAACCGTGTCCGAAGAATTAGGAAGCACGTGAAAACATCAGGGCAAAAAAGGGGTTTCTCCCACTTCTTTGATCGCTGAATGGCGTGGCCTCCGCCGCTCTTCGTCATCGAGGTCTGGGTCGTTCACCGAACTGCAGCGAGACCTCCGCCCGCCTCGTCCGGCGCCGCGCTTGTGACCAAGCGCAGGGACCCGCTGGAGCCGGTGCCAGGAAAAGGAGCCGAAGTCGCTGAGAGACCAAAATGTGGATGATGCAATAAGAACTCCCAGGTGGATGACGCTGATTATAGGATGTGGGGCACAGCCTCAAACTGGTTGAATCTGCTGATCATGATCCTTTGCCCACACACCACCCAGCTATCAAGAATGGGGGCACGCGCCGGGGCAACCAGCTCTTAAGGGCTGCGGCTACAGCTGCACACACACGCACGCAGAAATGGGTTTGAAATGGGTTTGTGAACTTCTAGAGTGGTGAAGCATCGTCCAAATTGGTCAACGTTCATCAACTTTCATGTTATGTGACTTTATTTTGAGTTGTTGAAGTCAACCAGATGATCAAAAAAGCGCGCCCCAGATGCACACCAGGCTTGTTCACAAGGCCACAAGACCCCTAAGGACCCACCTCAATTAACATGCCACCACCGCTTTGTAGAGGGCATCCTGATTTTCCATCCCCCAGGCACTCCATGTATGGGCATGTTTACCTACATTGGGGTGGTTTGAGGGGTCAATGTAGGCGCATGACAGACATGGAGTGCTTGGGTCCTTTCAACGACGTTTGGCAGCTGACGGGTTCGCAACACTGGTTGACCTGGTTTTGCAGATCAGGTGATTTTATGTGTTCCATGGTTTCCGTATGGGGAAATCCGCTTCTGAAGAGATGTTCGATCTTTTCCCGGTTCGACAGCTTGCCGCTTGGGCTGGGTCGGCTTCACCAGAGCCAGGCGGCTTCACCATCGACGCCCCAAGAGACCAAGCTGCGCACAGGGCTTAGATTCACCCAGGCAAGTGATATCAAGTGATGGTGGACCAGTTTTTGCCCATTGGATGAAGCGGATGAGCAACAAGGGATGTATGGTGACTGTACAGTGTTAGTGTGGGTGAGCACCCAAACCATTCCTAATCACACGTGCTGTGTACATACTTGGGGTTGGTGTGTGTATATATATATATATGTGGGGATCAACTCAGGCTATTTCTATATAATATATATATATAAAAGGCAAACATCGTCACCGATTGCTGCATGTTTTTGATCTTTGCAGCACAATGTTGTGATTCGGTGGCTTAGCTTCTGGCTTCTGGTGGCCGGGCGGTTTCTGGTTGGGCTTTTGGCTTCTCGCCACTGTGCCCGAACTTCGCCAGCTGGAGACTTGTTCGTTTCGGGTACCATTTTCGTTTCGTGGCTTGGGGCCTGGGGTCGGCCTGGGTCGTTCTCGCGTTTGGCCACAGCCGGGCCTGTCCTCCAGTGGCCGTGCTCCATTCTCCCAAAGCTGTGTATCCATGTGGCCTGGGTCAAGGTCATTTGTAGACTCAGGTTTTCTCCAATATTGACCTTGCACTGTTAAGCAGTTACACAATTAATTACACGGAAAGAACCAACACTACATTTGTTCTAAAGGGACACTTACTGACATGAATGTAAAGCATCATATATGATGTATTATATGTAAGCACTATATGAACTGAAGATACATCAATAACAAAGTAAACGTTGTAAGCGGAGCAAGACGACCCTAATAGCAATTTAACAACGAACACTCGCATCATAGTGCTCATCATATTACCAAATTCAAGCCCGTCGCCGTTGGTTTTGTGTGTTGCAGTCTTTTGCCCCCAACTAACCTGGTTGGAATTTGAATCCGGTAAGAGTTGCCCGTGTCACGGAATGCCAGCAAGTGCTTTCAACGCTGGCAAGAATCTGAGAATAGTATTGAATACATCTCGCCCAGTTCAATGAATGGGTTTGAGGGAGAACCTGGAAAATCTACAGGAACCCCGTGTTTTCACCCTAATTACAAACTATAGGGTTCCTGTTGAGTGTCCCTTAAACCCATTCTGCTGCCGAAGGTTTAGAAACGAGAGTTAGGGCTTTTGCTTGGTGAACCTTGGAGGAGAAGTTGCATTGAACATCGAGATGCAGATCCCTAGAGGTCACTGCAGCAGGTGTAGATGTCCACAAATCAACCAGGGGTCACGAGTTGTGGATGTTTTCTTCAAGCAGATTCTGCTTAAACGGAGATGTAACATGACCCCAAATGGCCTTCATGAAAGAGAAGGTTTCCATGGTTCATTTCAGGTCGATTCATATGAAGACAATCACTGCTAACATCGCTACTCTTGTTCTGTATTTCTATGCGCTACCTTCAATGGCTAGTGCCTATGGTCCTGTTGGGACATGGCTGCACACCGAGGGAAGCTGATCCGTTTGGATGTGGCCCGTTGCTTCTCAGAGGCCGCTGCGACATGAGATCTAGGGCCATCTAGGACCCCGCACTGTGGGTCTTGGTCGTTTGTTTCGCGATGGGTTTGGGTTCGTTGGGGGGCTGCTGAAGCTCCATCTTCCAACAACTGGTCCCGCCTTGGCAGTCATGACTTCATGGACCCTCCAATGTGCTTCCTGCTTGCAATCACGATGGGTGTGGTGTGGTCCAAGGAAACAGAACTGGGCCCAGTGGCTCATGTTCAGTGCTGCTGCACTCCCTGGAATCACAATGGAAGTAGAACATGGCCTCTTCGACCCAAATCCGCTACAAACATATAATCTTTTGACTGCCAAGATAATTCCAATAATGTGACTATAAATGTTTCACTTCCGATATAAATCCAATAATGTAAGTTGTTCTGTTAGCAAGTGGGGAACTATGAAACTTGGTTGCTTTCCCAAAAGGAGAATTTCATCAGTCTCTCAAAGCTACAGCTAGCCCAGATGGATCCAGGTTCCACCAACTAAGGTTTGAGATGCATCTTTTCCGCCGCACTTTTTGCAGCTCAGGTGACTCAGGTTGTCCACTTTTTGAGTGAGAAAAACATGAAAACAACCTGATGCCTTCATGATCTCCGAGCGCCCCAGACTTTCATAGCAACACTATAGTGGCCATAGGATCCTGCACGGTAACCCCGGCCACTACCCTGCCCCAGCGAGCAACCTGGCAGGGTAGAAGCATGGTGGAAAAGTGCAGCAACCAACCACAACCAACCCACGCTCGGACCATCGGCCGCGGGGATGTTTGCCTTAGAATAAAACACCAGTTCCAGTATTGACAATGATGAAGCAGTGCCCTTGGCCCTTGGTGGTTCACTGTTTCCTCGCAATGACTGGTGAGGAGCCCAGCAGCTAAGGTCCCGCTGTCACGCAGATCTGAGGGCATTGTTAAATGCAAGCTCCAAGCTATGTGGCTCTGTGAACACCTCACCTCGGCCCCTTAACACCCACTCTTTGGCTGAAAACCTTTAAAGCTTTGCCCCATCTCGTGCCGGGCTGCACCACCCTCGGGAGACCGCATCGCAGGTGCCGCGGCTCCGGTGCGGCGCCGCGCGCGTGGCGCTGCGGCAGCTCTTGGAGGTGCAGCTGCGCAGGCGCGTCAGCGGAGAACAAACCTAGCGATGGCCTCCACCCTAGTAGCGGAGAACAAACATGGATCTCTTAGGAATTCAAAATCAGACGTTATGATATTTACATTTCAATGTTCTAACTTGTGTGTTGTGTGTTTTCCCAACTTGGGATGGTTTGCAAGTCAGAGACACTAGCAGAGCCTGTGGCACCCGAGCTTCCGGGGTATATGTTAGAAATGTTAAAAGCTATTAATGTTCTATGTACCTCCAGGCTGCAAACCCTGCCAAAAGCGGTTGCTTGAGTTTTGCCAAGTGGTGATGGGGACAAGCTTTGGGGGCCTTTTTGTGCAGTCAGAGAAGTGCCTGGTGAGCTTGTTAGACCTGAGTTCCCTGTTTGGTCGGCCACGCTCCAACAAATTGATGCTTGGTGAGAGGAACATCAAGTTCCAAATGCCAAGGGCCAGGTTGTTCAAACAACAACATTTTGAGGAATGGCTTTGCAGTCATTTGGCCTGCAAGCGGGCCGCTCTACAGAGGTCACTTTGAACAAATTGGACCGTTGTGAAGGAGCGTGCAGCAGGATTGTTGTCAAGCGGCCCCAGAAGTGGTGGTTTGCAAAAGTTGCGGGCCCTACAAACCTTAGCAAGGTTGACGGCGGAAACGCTGGATAGAATCCCCCGGGGTCACTGCAAAGGGCACAGAACCGCAAAATGCATCGAATGAGCTAGGGGCCCCTCAAACCTCTATGATGCGGCAATCTTGCTGTTCACCTTAAGTAGCGTCCTTGTTCCTAGTAGTAAGGCCAGGAGCCCCTAGTAGCGTCCTTGCTCCCAGTAGCAAGGCCAGGAGCCCCTAGTAGCATCCTTGCTCCTTCGCGTGTTTGCACATTAATTAAGATTTCTAAAGAAGGTGGTGAGCTGCTCGCCTGCTATGTTCATGATATTTTTTGCCGTGGGTCAATGGCAGCGGCCTGCTGTTCCACTTCCGCTTCCTCAGCCCCAGTGGTGTGCAAGTCCACAGGTAGTGCCTCCAGATACTTCGAGGATGTTCTGGTTTCGTCCCCGACAGGTTCAGTGGTTTATACGGTAGCAACGAATAGGGGAAACCAGATGGAGAACCTACAGTTGCTCTACCAGCGAGCCTTGCTGCGTGGTCGAACTCAATACACCAGCCATGGAAATTCCTTGTTGAAACATGATTTTCCCCACTTCCGGACCACTTCGTGATTTGCACTGACATGCACTGACCAATGTGTCCAGCCGCCGCACCCGCCCCATTTCGTCACGCCTTCCCTTCGTTCTGCAGGCGCCAAGACCATCCTGCCTACTGCGCCCACCTTGGATTGCCGATCAGGTCGACCGATGTGGCGGAAGCACCACGCAACGCCCAGGTCAAGGCTACCATGAGCTAGCAGCGGTGATGTTGCTGGTGTGCGCGGAACCCAAGATGAGATGCACTAGACGCATACGATTTCGCGCTGCAGCTGGTTTTTTTGGGCCTAGGCAGTTCTTAAGATTCTTGACTTGAGGAGACCCCTCGAATTGGAGTTTGGGGACAAGAGACTCATTCTTTGCATCATGTGACAGCCAGAGACGGCACTGGAACGGAATTGCCCTGGTAGGTGTCCTGTTTGGGAGTAGCGGCTGAGTAGCGATCATGAAAAACTGCCAGCCCTTTCGACGGCTCATTGTCGGTCGAAGCAGCCAAGCAGCGCCAAGCAACGCGCCAAGCAACGCAAGTAACGTGCAGAATCACTTTGGGTTGGATGGCTATTTCCGGCCCACCATAAGATGGTGGACCATCCATCCTGCACCTGAGAATGATGGGTTGTTCTTTCATGAAGATATGGGTGCCACCACATCGAAGATATGACCGTAGTGATCGAGCTGCTGGTTGTGGAGATTTGAGGTTAAGTGACGCTAGGAATCTACTGGGGTACCTATGGGATAGTCTGTCGATCAGCTCCTACAACCTTTGGAGATTTTGGGTTTCAATCCAACACATGTCGTTCGATGGTTCGAGTCGTGATGGACCACGGGAGGCATGGATGGTGCCTGGCCCGAAGCTGCGCGGGTGAAGGACGAGACATGCCTTTGGGAGACATGGATGTGTACGGTGCCATAATGTGCATCAAATGCTATCCACACAGGTGTGTCATGTAAAAAATAACTGTAATAACTATAACTTTGTTTGTTTCAGTTTTGCATATGTGTTGGAATAGGGAGACTCTCCAAAGCAGTGGGTTTGGTCAAAAGGTCTTTGGGGGTCTCCCTATTCTTAAGCGAGCGGAGGACTGTGAGAGTGCAGTTTGTGAGCACTTTTGATATGTTGCCTTTGATCATCCGAAATTCAGTCAGTAAGTCTTGGATTTAGTTACAGTACATGTTCCTTAACACTATTGCATAGATACTGCAAATCCAGCCTAACCGATGTTTTGAAGAATATGTTATTTCCCTTGCTTCGGAAGTTTTTTTCCTTCTCGCAAAAAAGGACCTTGAAAACATGACAGTCTTATTCAAACGGTATTTGTTTTAGTGCCTTCACATTTGTTCAAACGCCCCATCCTTTTTGGAACCAACGAGTGCATAGAAACATCCGCCTTATCCAAAAAGCCTCCTCTATTTTACAAGGCGACAGTATTAACTACCATATGGTATCATATGCTGTATTGTTTTTACCCTTGCGATGCTTTATTAATACTAATAAGATCTAATAATAAGGCTTTGAACATATACAGTAAATGCGTAATTACCTTTGAGCACAGTGTCCTCCATTGAGGAAGGTCCTCAATGTTCATAAACACTCTTCTTTGTAAGGGTCACAGCTTTGGAAGTTCTTGTAGACATCCATGTTTTGCAACTGATTTTGCCTATAATCAGCAATATCCAAGAAGGGAAGAGCCACTGTTTCAGCAAAAGGGCAACTGAAGTTAAAGAGGAACACATTTCAATCGTGGCCCAGTCTCTATTGAACTTATTTCCTTGGCGTGTGTATCGAAAGATTCCATAAAAATAACCAAAACACCGCAGGATTATAGTATATACATATATATATATATACAAACAACCCCCTCCCCTAGCTTAACGAGTTCCCAACTATTGTTATTTTTTGCTGTTTGGTTGTTGTGTGTTTGTGTTTTAAGCTCCCAGGACTGTTCATCATAGTCAACCCTTTTAAAGGAGATGACAGTGAGGCAGCTTTCACACGCACATCCAGGCAGATGATAGTAGACAGTTTATGACATGCAGATGAAACCAAGACAGATGGCAATCAGGCAAGTTTCCTTTGAACACATGCGCAATACAGGAAAGTGAGTTTGATCAGCACTCATATTGACATAGAATTGTGTGTTGCTAGCTCATTCGAGTGGTCCAACCGGGCGGTCGTCCATGTCCTTAATGTTGTACTATACCTGTGCGGCGGGGTGGAATGCTGTCCTGGTACATTGCAGCCAACATCAGCGGATGACCATACACTACACAACACGCTCATCAAATATGATGTATGATGTATGTTTGTACGCTCCCATTTGCCTGCCTGATGGACAAAGATTTGGGGCTGCCTGCGGGAAGACGTAGAGCGACCAGCAACTGGATAGATTGGTGCATCCAGAACGCAAGTGTGGACATATTGCCATATTGATGTTCCCACAACGAGGTCGTTTTTGTGGTGAACATCGAATCATAGTCGAACATGGATGGTTGGAGATGAGGTTCCGTCCGAGCACGACGTCCTTTTTCCTCACCTACCAACAACGCGGCGGGCAGGAGCAGCTGGGCCAGTCCAACGTGGTGGACGAAGGTCGCGGCCTTGGGCACCAAGCATTCCAGACCAAGCCAGACGCCAAGATGGTTTTCATCAGATACAGCGATTCTTCCGCCCTGCGCGCTGGGCATTCAAGAAGACTGAGAATTGTTTTTGTCAAGCACTTATGAGGGCTAAGAGTGTGCATGCCAAGGACCCCCAGCTTGAGAGGGTGTCAACGACAATATGTTAATGTTATTAGTATTGTGCGACGTCGTTTATGGTTGTTTGAACAATATGGCATGTGGCATTCCAGGATGCCAAGTCGTTTTCTAATGTTGGACATATTGGTTTCGGCTCGCCGATCGCACAGGTGACCTGAAGGTCTACGAGGAGCTTTGCAGTGCCGAGTCGGTTCCTGCCGACGCGTTGGCCGGGGCGACCCGGGCGAACCTCGGAGCGTCCTCTGTTGCGTGTGGAGCGCGATGCGGATGTACAAGCCAACCTACCTGGAGTGTACAAACATGATACAGGTCATGTTTCAGCCGAAGTTTGTATGTCATAGTGTCGTTTCATTAGATATAGACTAGATAAAATATATAACTAGTCAAGAAACGGGGAAGTATTGGGATTGCGGTTGGTTGATAGATCTAGAACCGTCACGTGACCCATTATAATGTGACCTATTGATGTGACCTTCTCCTTGACATGGCGAAATGCTGTGTGTCTCGAAAACAGCCAGGTCTTGCTTGAGGCGCTTCTTTATGCCCTGCACTTAGCCACTTCTTGGCTCTGTGGGGGCCTGGGTGTAGCGAACCTAGAGAGCTGGTTTCAGTGATTCTTTGGCCATCACTACTGGGTGTTTTGAGGATACCGTAATCATTCTTTGAGTCGTGCTGCTCAGCTCTTCTTTTGGCCAGAGCTCTCAACAGCATGAAGATTATGTACACTAAGGCATCATTGCGGGCGCCCAAAGACTGGGAAAAAACACATGATAATCAGTGGCGTGAGTTCAGTCTGTTTGACAGAATTGGACAGTGTTGCTGCCCTAGCAACTGTCAACGGCGTCAGATTCCTCGGTTGCGTAGAAAAATGGATGTCCTGGATAATGATTAGTCTACCTAATCGAGGGCTAATTTTATCATATGACCGAAAGACATGAACCGAAGAAACCACATGCTGAAGAAGGGTCACCAACATCAGCCTTTCATGTTCCTTTTCTCATTTTCCTCACATCAGCGCTCATTGGTGAGGGGTTTTGAAGGATCCATGGGTGGATCAGTGTGAAGCAGCTGGGCGCTGGTTCCAGCATTGGACGATGCAACGATGAAATGGCCGGTCACCTCATATACAAAAACCTACATGTCACCTCCAACGAGCCATTTCTTAGTGGGGTGGGACCCGCAAAAGGTGCCCCAACCCACCTTTTTCCAATGACCCAGCAGTTACATTCCTTCCCTTATGGCCTTATGGTCCCTTTCTTTGAAGGACCACCGTTCTTCGGTGGAGCCGCAGGAGCACCGCCTCGTGGACCTCTATGAGCCCAGCAGCTCCTCCAACGGCGAGGAGGAAGCCGTCGTCGCTGGGGGTCCCAGAGTCGTCGATCGGCAGATGCAGAGATGGCGACATGCACAGAGCAAAGATGGACGTACCGAAGGTGACATTCTTCGTTTTCAAAGTGGTGGAAACAGGCTGAAACAGGCTGCAGCCATGGACATCCCCGTAGCAATGTCCGCGATGGAAATTGCTGTAGGCTAAATGGTAGTGATTCGGTTGTTCCAAGTTGCAAGGTTGTTTCAAATTCATTTGCCTTTCCCAACCCACCCACTGCTGGCGCCGCACTCGCATGACCCACCACTGGCTTAACAGCGCTTGGAAGGGAGCCTTTGTGCTTGTGGCATGAAGAGGTTATGAGACAAGCACAGCAACAAGAGTGATCAAGAACGTGTTCAATGCTTCAGAATATTCAGATACCTCAGAAAATTGAACGGCGTTTTCTGGAACGACGTTTAAGCACAGTAACATTGCGCTTGAACCATGTGTGCCAGCGAGAGCAAGCCGTGAGAGAGAGAGAGAGATATATAACAGAAATTGACCATAGACACATGGCCGGAGGTATGTCATCGCCCTGGTTCAGACATAGGTTCGCTCCCCGAAGGGAATTGTTGGTTCTCAGGGCGGCGATGTTGAACTCACACAACCAGGCAGCGTGAAGATGTGTGATCAATCCCCACCGTATTGAAAAAACATCCGGACATCCTGGTGGAATATGTGATAGCAGGTAGTTGCTACCTCCTAGTCCTACTCTATTATTGGGTTGGGTATCTTTCCATTTTTCAGACGTTGGAGGTTGAAACCTTTGCTGAGATCTTGCCGGACTCAATTCATTTCCGGGACTTCCCACCATTGGCCACGGGGCCACTGTTGATTCAAGTGAGTGCAGCACTACCCTTAGAACGTCCCTGCGCAACTTCGCAAAATTATTGTTTGCATCCCACATATCGACGGCAGACAGTAAACACACTTGCATCCATTCCCTCGGCATTGCAAACCAATAACCGCCCTCAAAACCCCACCCTCCTTGCAAAAGCTGTCGCGTCACGTTGACCGCTGAAGAACTGGCGGCCGCTGCGCAGATGGCGTCGATCATTGCAGGGACTTGGTCTTTGATTTCCAGCTCGGCAGAGGTCATCAGCAAAGCTCGTGGGATGACTGCCGCTGTGACAGGAAAAAGTCGAGGGGTGCCCCATAGAGAGTGTTTCCGCCTTCGTGGCCCCCGAAGCTTTGCCCGACATGGGTGCTTTGTGTTTGACCCGTTTGGTCCGCCCGATAAGCGAATGGTGAGCATTTCTGTGAGCACATGGCCCTGAGAGAATCGTGGGCGTATGTGTCCTGGACTGATGGGTGGACGATGTGACGGTGTCACTTGACAGCGACCGGCCTTTTTGGAAGCGGCCGCAGAACGGAAACGCCAAATGACAACAACTTCAACCACATTATGGCCGCAGGATTGTTTCCCTTCACTTGCTTGAGCCCCATCCACTCAATGTCACTCAACCTGTTTTGAGGTGGGCATCCATCGACTCCTGCAGCCGGATGCCGTGGATCTCCATGAGGCTGACCGACGACGGTTGGTCGGCTTGCAGCGCCGCGTGTGCCCCGGAAGCAGCACCGCGTGTGCCCGGGCGAGAGGAAGACCACAGGGAAGTACGTATAGTTGATGTAAGACGTTTAGGACGCCAAGGTATTTCGTATACGGGGCTTTGATATTAGTCAGGTATTATGCGGATTGTTGTAGGATTGATCCAGAGCGCTGTTTTCTTTGTGTGCACAACGTCGTTACCACGTGGACATGCAGCCCTTTGGGAGCCTGGCAGCCACTAGATGGCGGTAGCCCTTAGCATCGTCCAGGAAGCAACATCCTTAAAGGTCAATTCACCAACCTTTAGCACACACAGCCGGTGTGCACTATGATCCCCATGAGTATCCATGAGTCATGGATACACGGGGATGCAACTCGGACACCACCAGCTTCCTTTGGTGCTTGAAATCCTTTTTGTTGAGAGACGGGTAGATGATCAGATGATCCAGAAGGGGGACACATCTCTTGCCGAGCTCACTCGGCCAGATGTCACCCGGACCACCGTTGACCATACCATACCTATGGGCTCCTTTTGGGTCTTGTAGGGAACCCTCCAAGGCCACCTTGGAATGTGTGGGCTCATGTGGATCCCTAGATTCTCTTGAGTTGGACACCGCCACCAGAACCCACTGCTCACCCCGTGCCGTGGAAGAAATCCATTCGCAGCTGCGCGTGGTTGTCGTCGAAGTCAGGCAGTGCATGGTTCAACCCTTGAATTTCCTGCTGCTGTGGTCGAAAAGTCGAGACGATCGAGTCCAACAAGTGGTTTTAAGTGCACAAGAACTCTTGTGTCTCGCCAGTGGAGAAGCGCGCGAACTGCAGCAACAAATTTTCATGGAGGATGTACCACTCATGGAGAAGTGGCAGGATGGCTGATGGGGTGGGGTCAACACTAAACCGCAAGCTGGTGGTTTGACATGGTCAGTTGAGTGGCTGTCAGCACTTCTGGGCGAGGCCAAGCTGTTGGGCCCTCCGGGTTTGTTCCGAGCATATCGGCTCATTGAGCGCTTCTCACACAAATTGACGTTGGAGGGGCACCCTTTCCAGTCCAACTACGCCAATTGCATGCTCAACCCCAAGCCCATTTACCACGTGCCATCAGAACTTCGAGCATTTGCATGGATTTGTTCTTGCATTTTGCATCCACTGGCCCATTGGCTAGATGGTTGCTTTCCTTTTGACAGTCAGTGCATGCATAGCATCCGGTTCCTGAGCGAAACACCATGAAATACAAGCCTTCCAAAAGTCGGGTTTCCATGAAACACCCTCAGTGCAAGGCTTCTCAAGTTGCCAAAAGTCATGTTTAGCAAACGAAGAACCAAACCTGCTTAGGGCTCAGGGACTGGCTCAGGGTTCTTCTCCCCTGAAAGGAGTTGGCCACCATAAGGGGGTTATAAAGGGCTGAAGAACCACCTACTGCCGGGGATTGCGCACCCAGGACCCAGAGGGAGACGCCTCGAAGATGGACATTTGTGCAGGTAAGTATAGCAGTATAATTGGTATCCTGCTGGTAGGGTGTAATCATCCTGTTTACACAGACCCTCTTCCCTCCAGCGGATCAATCATGTTTCTTTACTTTTGGCATGGAGCTTTGAATCAATCTTGCAGAAAGGAACTCCTAAAAGAGCTCGATCGGCCAACTCCCCAGCTCGATTGGTCCATACTTTCGCTGAGTTCACTCAGGTTTGACATCTATACTTTCATTGAGGACCTCTCTGCCGACCCCAACGGCTCCACCATCCACGCTGGGCGTGCGCCTTCGTCGCGTGGCTCCGGCCCCTTGGTGCGGCCGAGCAACGCGACGAAGTCGGAGCAGCTGGACTTCTTCCTCCGTGAGCGCCTTGGGTGGCGAAGGAGTGGCCGGTGAGCGCCGTAAGGCTGGGTGGCCGAGTGCTCAAACTCGACGTACTCAACCGAAGAATCTTCTCAAGCGGATATATCAATTTATTGGTGCGTTGAATGGTTTCTCAGGGTTGGTCAGCCCGTGGATTCCGGATGCTTTCATAGAGGGTTACCAGTTGCTGTGGCACTAGTGACTAGTGGAAGATTTATGAAGATTTGAGGCTTTCCAGGGCAAGCCTCCTATCAATGCGCTGTTCGCGCAGTATGGTCCGCGCGCCGAAACAAATGCCAAAGTCATTCAATGCAAAGAATCTATATCGGTTGAAGAAGGTTGAATTTTGTGTGTGGCAGCTTGATGGAAGGAACAAGCAAGACAACCACACCAGGCCGATGCAATGGGTATTTTGTTATAGTGATATGTTTATAGAGGTGATTCGCGGTGTCCATTAAAATTCCGGGGATCCTGGCAATACTTCCCGTTAACCTGGCAGGCCCAAGACACCAGTTCGCATCAGATTCAAGTCACCGAGGTCAAGCTTTCAATATCCTCAGAGCCCAAGTCGTCATTCGAGTCACCCTCCTTTTTTAGGCGTTTGTGTCAGGGTTTTGTTTGGAGCTTCGTATTTGGATCAGTATCCTCCAATCCTCCCGGCTGAGACCAGCTTTTAGCTTTTGGGAGAGAAGCATGCTCAATCACCTGAAGGCAGTCTTCCCAGAAGCCGGATTTTCCGCTTCCATATCGAGTCAGAGTATCAATGGCCTGCGAGCTGATACGGGCCAAACCACGGGTCCGGAACCGGCCATTGCCGGGTCAGGTTGGACTTCACTTGCATCTCCGTGAACATGGCCATCACCATGGAGACACGTGCGCCGCCCGGGTCAACGCCGGACGTCTCTTTGTTGGCCTTCCTTCGGGCGCATCGACGCATCAAGGACGGCGGAGGGGCCAAAGTCCCTGAAACGAGAAACTCCATACGACTCCATCAGGACCCGTGGGGCGTGACGACGTTGACGTGTCAGGAGATGGAAGGCTGCAGTGGACATTTGTGTGCCTTGCTGGGCTGTTTGTACAAAGGTGCCGATGGATCTGGATGCACCTGGGTGGCGATTTGGCCGGGATTGGAAGAGGATTGCCAGGTGGAGCCGTATGAAAGCAGCTCCTTTCAATCTCAATTAGTGTGCCAAGAACTAGCTGAAGTTTGCATTTGGGATGTGGCCGACTTATACCGACTTAAGCAATACGCGATACTGTAATTAGATCGTGCCCCTGATGGGTTTGCATGGTTTGTCAACCTGCAGGTAGTTGTAGCTGATAGTGTAGAGCTAAGGATCTCCGTGGCAGAAAAAGCAGTTTAGCAGCATCTACATATATAAAGTAGAATCAGGCTTGGTGTGCCTTATTGTTTTCCCTTCCTTTCTTCCTACTTGCACAGTTGGAAGCCTTGAAACTTGACCGGATTGGGCTGGTGTGAAACTTTCTGAATGGGTCTCGAATTGTCTCGAGTATCATGCGGGAGCTTGCTCGTCACTCGTTTCGGTGCGCATGATCGTCACAAGTTGTCACGTGTCCACATGGCCGTGGATCGAAACTGGGACATGCTGGCTTTTTCCCAGAATGAACAGAACAGACTACCTCACGTGGTCAACCTACCCTGGTAGAACAGACCTCCAGATGCGACCCACGTGTCCACCCTTCTCACATCGTCAGGTTGGTCTCCGGCTTTGTCCTTGGCCACCTTCAAGGTCATCGCGCGGGGAGAGACAGCGGGCGACGGGACTCGTGCCGCCGGTCGTGCTACCTCGTCGAAGTCATGCCCACGCTTTGGCTTGGTGCTTGAGAGTCGGCTCCCATTGGGAGCTGTGGGGGAGGACGGGAGAGAGATGGAGAGAGTGTTGATCATATATCGGCCGGGTCATGTGAATGGTGGAACCATGTGGAACTCATGTGAACATTCCGGGTGGGTGGTCGTTAGCTGCAAAAAGGAGGCGATGCTTGATTCCCAAAATTGGGGAAAGTGCACTTTGTTGGATGCTGGACATGCATGGCATCGCCCGTGACTTCACTTGGATTAGTTGCGAACCAGGCTTGCAAGCTGGCTGAGTAAAATATGATCATCGGGTTTGCAAGTATGTATGAACATCAGTAACATCAGTTTCAGATGAGAGGGGAGAAATCAGAGGAACTGGACTTGTTCGAACGTCCCGTCCACACGGTCCCACATGGTCCGTCCCACAGTCCGAGACTCGTTGTTGTGAATTCGGTCACTGGGGTTCTCCGAAATCGGCTACGCCGCGTTGGAAAGGATGAACAACCGTGGCCTAGGGGCCTAGAGCCGCCATTGACACTAAAATGATTCTACCGATATTGTACCGATATATGTTTGCTCGACCTTTTCTTCATGGTTCTTTTGTGCCGCATACAGATCGCGATCGGACAGGAGCTTGGAGCATCTGGTTTGGAGGGTCTGAACGCCTCGGCTCGTTTCTGGGTGGTGCTTTGGAAGATTTGTTCCTTTGTCCTTCCCTATTATTGGGGATGGTTATGTTATGTTATGCCAACCAAATGTGATTGGAAGCCTTGCAATGGATCTGGATATGTTGTAGTTGTAGTTTATCCATGCCGTGCCCATGTTCACGTCCCAAGTGACTTCTAGAATTGTATACTGTGTATTTGCTTTGGGTGGCGGGTGATTAAATTTTGTTCAATGTATTTTCTTGATAATTCCCCATTGACTCACACCATTTCATTGACCTCCTGATTTGAGATTGGATCCATTGGTTTCTTATTGTGAGGGTGGTTTCTTATGCCCCCATCCAACTGGTGTTTTTCTCCTTCTAAACTTGAATAAGCCCACCCACACAGGTTTGGACTTCCCCATTGCCAGCATCCTGGATGCTCACCTGGTGACCACTGGCCAGCTGAACCTAGCGGCTTCTCCCGCATCGCCCTGCGCGGGAGCACAGGAGCTTCAGGTGGATTCGCTGGCCGCACGATTGAGAAGCAGGGTCGGAGGGCGGTGGTGGGTAAGTGGGATTTGCTTGGAATGCTTCCGAGCTGCTGATGGGTCTGTGGTTCTGTTTTACCATCACTGGGATGGACGCAGACTGACCGTAGGTGGTAGAGTGAACTCTTCCAGACTCTTCCCGTCGAGATACCAGTGTTCCATCGACATGAACATGCAGAAATTGTAATCAAGAAGAGGTGCCCCAAAAAGGTCCCTTACACTCCCGAAAACTCACATGGACCCTGCGAAGGGCACCCTCAAAGACTGTTTTCCTCTACAAACCAGTTGTTTTCAGGATCTATGTTATATAAGTGGGGTAGCTTTATTTCGGTTCAGACACGACACGACCCATATCCGATCCGAGGTTGGGCGGGGAGCAAGCGGCAGCAACGAACATACGGGTTATGTGGAGATCATAGGGTCGACGGTCATGGGATCCCCAGAAAGTGTTCACACGACCCACCCACTGTTCACTGAGAGTGGATCGCCAAATTAAAATGATCATATTTGGTCCTCCTGTCTCAGGCCCTGGTTTGGTCTGACACGGCTCACCACTTCGCTTTTGTGTTCGATGCCTCGACGGCCACGGCGGACGCTGAACTGCAGCTCACACCTCTGGATGCGGTCTACCTGGCGCGGCTGTGTGCGGTGCGAGAGAACCAGCCAGAGGGGGAGGAGAGACGTGGTGTTTTCATGGGTTGGTTGTACGCCATGGAAGAGACCCACATGGAACCTGAAACCCTTTGGACTGTAGAGGAAAGTAGTCTTCCACAGGTCCATGGTCAGGTTGCATGTTAATCTTCCCAGGTGAATGTAGACTTTTGATTAATGTGAACCCCCCCTCTCCCCCTAGTCAAATCCATGACCCTCCTGATCAAGAGTCTACATTAGGATGTTGTAGCTGTCTTTGATCTCTCTCTTTGGGCTCTCCCAGAGGTCTTGGTGACAAAAGATGTCCAATGACCCTGTTGAGCGTCCTGTTGCACATGGATGTTTGATGAATCTTGGATTCACTTCTGCCAAGATGAGTTTGGCAAACGGGCAGAGCCAATCAGATTCATTTGTGCACTCTTGTTTTTGTGATGGTTGGAGGGTGTTCACATGTGTCAAGAGCTTGGGAAGTTGCTGTCACGACTAGTGCTGCTTCCTGCACAGTCATGGCAATCACATGCAATAGCTTTTGATTTGAGAAATGCCGCAAATTGCATTTGCTCGTAAGTGCTTGCCCTCCTCACAGGGTCACTTGTTCAAGGGATCCTGCTCGATTTCAGGGAAGCTTTATAACACTTTCATGCACTTACTATGGGACTCTATATATATAACCCCTGGGGGCTTACAAAGTCAGCCTCTACTCCTACTCCCAGCTGAAATGTGTTTTTGTTGCGAGCTTCCTGTTGCAAGTCAGGGAGCCACATTGTTGGTCACCAGGTGGATTTACGGACAGAATGGATGCTGCAAATGTTTTGTGTGTTCAGATAATGTGTGCATGTGTGTGTGTGTGTGTCACATGTGTCATCCAACTTTTGATGAATAAAAACCCTGCACCAGTGCACGTACCCCCTGGTAGTCCCCACAACATTTTGAGATCCCTCCTACATCCTCCTATCCACTGATGCTGGAACAAATGCGAGTGCAAATGTGGTATTCATCGCAGGACTTGACTTTGGAAGCATTTGGACTGGATCCTGAGTGGTCCCCTGCACCTAGCTTGGCCTAGATAGACGTGGCACCTGGTGCCAGTAGAATCTAGCGCCAGAAAGCAACCTGCTGCGATTTCGCCCCACATGGAAGTGGATGAACAAAAACTTGAAAGAAACTGACCCACTTCAGGAAACACTCATGCTCAAAAAAAAACTGCTCGGCATTCATGTTTGCCAGCTGTTGGTTTGGAGGATTTTGTTGGGTAGTAGCGGCCTTGGAAGAACAAATTAAACTCATTCCGGGAAGCACGCCTTCACGAACGTGGATTGTGATCGAGCCACTTCCATGTGGTTGCGCATGATTTGGCCAAGAGTCTTGGACACATTGGGGCCAAGCGTTTGACACGGAGACATTTGGTTTGACAGGACATCGCAAGTCTGATTCCTTTTTTGTTCCGTTCTCATTTCACCATTGGGGAGCTTTGTTGATATTATACTGATGGTTGATTTCAGAATTCTAGGACTTGTTTGCGAATTGCTGATTCTTTTCTCATGGTCCCATGGATTGGCAAATCTGATCAACCGGCATGATGCTTGCAACCGGGCAGATATATAGTTGATGTTGTGCGAACCTAAACATGAGTGTGCAGAAATTGAGACACGTGGGGCCCCCCGCGAATCTTGGCCTGCGCACCACTTACAAGTTGGTGGTGAAAATGGAGTGTGGCAGCCTGCAGCATTTGTTGAGTGTGCATCAAGTTGGATGTAACATAGGCCCATTCCCACTGCAAGGCAGATTGGTAGCTGTTTGATCCTGTTTGTAGGTGTGGCCTCCAAGTACACTTTTGGAGTGGATGCCTTTTTGTAGAACCTCGTGGGTGTGGGCCTTTGAGAAAAAAGTGTGAACAAACCACTACACTCCGACGAACACATCATGACATCGCATGGAAGTGGAAAGCCCCAAGCGCCTCACCTCTCAGGGGCAACTCTCAGAGCCTCTGGGGGAAGGAAGGAAAGCCCTCCAAGGGAAGAAAAAGCAAGGTGAAGCCAGCAACTAACAGATCTAACTTATGTTTAGTCATGTTTCCTCGTGCCACTTGGATTGCTGGAAGTCCAAGAAAGCGTTTGTTTTTTCTCAACAACTGAGAGTTGTAGTATGTACGGAGCATGCTGACCATATGGCCATATGGCACAGGGATGCGCAAGGACGACGCGCAAACTATCTACCCGTGATGTCCATGTTATAGAACAAAGTTAAAGGAGCAAACAGCAGGCTGCCAGGTCATACGGTATACCATCATATGTTCGCAAGTGTCCCCGCAGTTGGCCAAAACTGCCTGGCAGTTTCCACGATGTTTGTCGTTTGTGATGCAAGAAAGGCCCTGCAGTGCACCGGTTGAGGCCCTGCGCTGCCGCCGGATCACTGCCGGCTTGAGACGGGCCCGGAGGACCTGGATGATGATGTGGAGAGTGGGGTTCCAGGAGAATCCTGTGGTCTCCAGCAGTTTCCTTTCATAGGTCAAAACGGTCAAAACGGTGAAAGAATGAACTACCGCCAGTTGGTCGCAGGTGTTTGAAACAGTCTTCAAGAAATGTTAGCCAGAACAACAGTTAGCCGCAAATTGGCATGGTGGTCCACCTGAGACAAACATGGTGATTGCGGCGAGTTTGTATGAAGTTGTATCGATATATTGACTATGTTTTGTGGGGTTTTATGGAAGTACTTTCGCAGCAAAAGCCATCCTCAGTGAACCCTTTAGGCCTGGCAGGTGTGTTGCAGATGCAAAACCGGAACTGTTCAACCCATCACCCAATTCATTGCGTATCCGCGAAGGTTTGGAGTGTTGACAGTGGAAAAGGAGGGGCAAACATGAAGTTTATCGCTTTGACCCCACAGGGGCCCGACCGGTGACGCGGACGCGGACCGAGATCGCCCCTGATGTGGCCTACGAGGTGGAGGGGTTCGGACACCAGAGTGGTGAAACCAGCCAACAGTAGTAGCAAGGACGCTACTAGGTGGAGGCCATCGCAAGTAGGTTGGAGGCCATTCTAGGAACAAGG